TCCTTACGAGAGACATCTGGCTACCACCTGCCTCGATGCCCTCGCACTGCCAAACTTCCCCCCAATAGAACGCTCCCTGAGCATGCGCACCCGCTCCTATGACGCATGCATGTGGATGCACGTGTATACAAGGATGCACGTGTTCGAGCGCTATACGTATGACTCTCTCTCTCTCTCTCTCTTCGCGAACGAGAATCGCCAATCGAGGATACGGATTTTTAGCGTTTCCTACTTCCTGTGTGATTCTTAAGTGACGTTTTAATGCCTTCTTACTTTTAATAATGACGCAATCAGAGAAGTTAATAGTCACCGGTTCTATAATGAGATTCTATGACAAAACTAATCGCCTAACCTAACAATTTTTAATTATCCTATATACAGTTAGTAATAGAAATATCAAAAATCAAATTAAAAAAAAAAAGAATTGTATTATAAAAATGAGTGTACAAAAGAATGATTAAAAAATTGCTAATGCACCCCTCGTTAGCAATACGATTGTCTTCTCGATATCCTCCTCGCGTATGATTCGTATGACCGACTGAACCAACCCCGAGTCGCGCGCATATGTCACGTTCAAAAGCGCGTGCGCCACAGCGCGGGGCAAGGTAGGCGAGGGAAATTCCCGTGCCCCTACGGGTGTGGTGGTATTAAAGAATAAAAAAAAAAGCGACAGGCGAAAACCGAGGGGGAAGGGGGGGAGGAGAAGCCCCTGTAGGCAGCGAGCTTCATCCCCCTCGTCACTGGAGGTGCGCGTAGTGCACCACCACCACGCCTTAACCCCGTGCGCGCCACGGCGACCAATTGTAAATCGAGCGACGAGCCACCTGGTGCTCGTTCCCATGACAAGTGCGATGGGTATTTTCTCCTCGTGAATCTTTAATTCCACCGTGGGAAACGAGGCTGCATCGCAAGAGAGAATCAAACACCTCATGGCGATCCATGCGCACCTTGCTAATGCTGCTTGATTAGAGGGCCAGACTATGGAATCCCCGATTCCATCTACCCCAACCTGGATCCTACGCCACTGCTTCCAAGAGCAACACCGTGTGCGAGTGGACATCTGGTGGGGCCTTGGGAAGTTACCGACCTGGTGTGCTGGTCAATTAGGGTCGATGGAATCGGGTAGTTTATGAGTTAGTGGTAATCTTGAAGGAAAGTGACACCTCTACGTCAATGTACAGGGTGGTTAAAAAAAAAGAAAAATATTTACACTTGTACATGGAGAATTTGTATGTGTATACGTTTCAAGGAGATTCCAAGAACGTGTCGACACTGATGGGCGGACAAGTGGAGACCCTTTGAAGACAAAATAGATTTGTTAATATGATACACTGTTTTGTCAATTTTGTTTCTCTGTAGAGTTACATATTTTCATATAAATGTTTATATTCTTTTTTCTAAACACCCTGTAATGGGCTGGCTGTAAACTAAAAATAGAGAAGTTTGTGTTTCTTGGAAATTTCAGATTGATTATTATGATTTTTGGTTTCTACATCGTTGTAGTTGTAGAAAATATACTAATTTTGTCGAGAATGTAAGTAACAGAATACCACATGATGCAATGACCATAAACTAAGATACACGAGACTATACTACAATGTATAAGTATCTGTTCATCTACATTTTATAATTTTACTATGACAAATATTTATAAAAATCTATTCTTCCCTACAATGAGAATCACCAAGCAGCTCGTTGCCAGGAAATGTCAAAAAATAAAAGACATCGTAAATAAATAGTCGGACAAACACTTAGTAGGTAAAAAGTGAAATACATGGGATAAAAGAAATATTCCAAGGTGAATGAAGGTCATTAGAATTCAACATGTCAGCGTCGCAACGAAACGCGTCAGTCTATCATTTGGACGTCCCCCGTTCGAGAACAATTCAAAAACATATGCTTCGGTGCTTTTGGAAGACTCAATAGAATATAAGAAGGCGTCGCGCAGACGAGAGAAGGCGCGCATGCAAAAGCTTTTGCTAGGCGAAAGTCGTTCCAGACTGCGGTCTTTCTTGACTGGAGCAGATGCTGGAAATCAGGCTCGCCCTTCTCTGTGTATACCCTCTACCGACGACGATCGACGACGACGTCGACCCTCGAACGAGTGTACCGAACCCGACATCGAAAATAATGATACGAATGAGGAGAAGAGAGAACAAGCCTGTGTGTAAGCCAGCCAGAACACACAGAGAAAGAGGGAGATGAAAACAGTGAAAGGTCGTTCCTTCTTCTCGGGGGGACTTCCTCAAGGGGCCCAGGTCGCGAATCTCGTCGGAAGAACTGGAATCCCCCGAGAAATTTGTTACTTGGCCGTCTTTCGACGTCTATCTCTTTCCACCCTTTTTTTTCGTATCTCATTCTTGCTCTGAATCTTCATGTCGTTGCCTTACAGTGCACATTGTCCGTGAAAGGCTTTAAAAAGAAACGCAGCTGCTTAAACGGTTATTTAATCGTCAACCAAGAGGACACTCCTCCGTTACGAATTTAAATGACCGCCAATGTCGCGATCCGCCGGAGATTATATGTACAGATACTGTATGCATACCGTCGGGAAGTTGTCTCTATACTCGCTGAGAATCCATCGGAAGCCTCCTGAATTTTCTCTAAAATTAGATCGATCCACGGGTAGCGCGTTCTATGTTTACTATGCACCCCCCATTGCAGCATGACATAACCTCACACGTCGGCGAGTTTTTTTCTTCGAGAGATCTGTTGACCACACGCGGCGGGAATGTCTATTTTTTAAGAAGCGTACACATCTATCGAATCTGATGTTCATTGCAATTCTCGAGGAAAACACTCGATACACTATGTACTTGATTTTATCGCAGCCGTCGCTAATGAAAAGCACGAAATGCGTCAAACACGCTTTCCTATTCTAAACGCTTTCGCAAACTCACCTCTCTAGCTCCCCCTTGGCAACCCATAAACTCGAGACATCACTAAGAAACCCAATCACGCGTTTCCTGTCCTATTCTACCTGTGCAAGTAGCATCCTGCCTCCAGAAAGAAAGAAAAACGATGGTCGAGATCAGACAGCGGATTTCCATGAATTTCTCGGGACGGTTCGCGAACAAAAGTCGCCGCATGAACACACGTGCCGGTTATCTGGATAAACTGACACGTGGATTCGTCTTAACTTTGCCCGTTTTTAGATGACCGAAAGCGTGTCCTCCCGCGAGACACATGTATCTATGTGTTTCTCTATTCTACCCCCACTCTAAGCCCGCGAGCAGCGCGCGCATCGAACCGTTCGCGAAGTGATCACGTGCGTTTTACGTCCCGAGACGAGAGTTCGTTACAACTGATGGTTTCCGCGTTTCACGCTTGTAGATGTAGTTCTTCGCTTCTCAGGATTGCGCCTAAGTGCGAACTCTTCAAAATTCAACGAGCCTTTGTGTGTTACCACTCTTTCGTCGATCTCCTTGACTGTTTTTTCCCTTTTTTTTTTCTCCCTTGTTCCTTAAGGTGATTTTGCGTTTTCAACAGGCCTGGAATCTTGATTTACCAGATATACTTCTTCAATTTCGCTTTTTTCTGTACTTTCCTTTTTTCTTCAGGCCATATTTCGTGCCTTGCCGGCCAGGTATCGAATTCCTTCATGGATCAACCTATCTCTTTTTTCTTTTGCGATTTAACAATTTTTTTTTTATGAAATATTTATATATATGTTATATAGTGCAGAAATAAATCGGTTAAGTGAACGTCCATTTAACATTGGAACAATGAAGATGGAACACGTCGAAAGGCGGTCAGGGTTGGCTATTAAGCCAATTCAGAAAATAGTTAATACGCCAGGGGCCCCCGGTTAAAGGACGAAGACGCAAACTCGTTCGCCGGCAAACGAAATAAACGACAGGGGAATTCTCAACGGGTTCGATCTGGAACCGGGTTTAAATCTCCTTTAGTCGAGAACGAGTCGCCCCGGCTGTAGACCTGCGCGCGAGAAAGCAGACCCCGGCCAGGCCCTCTATACGGGGCCCGGTCTTTTTCCCTCTGGCTCCGGGCGATAAACGAGCCTAAAGTGGGATATCTGCTAGGCAACAACACAAGGGATAGTCGGAGGTTCCTTCCAAGATGCCTGCTGCTTTTCTTTTCTGCCTGCCTGCGGTGTTTGTCTCTTCTCCCTTCTCTCGGCTATTTGACCATCTACAACCTACTGGGTGACTTTTAGAAAATGCCGTCCGTCTCTCCTCTAACGCATTCGTAATCATGGGTAGGGACCGGCTACGATCGATGTGAATACCAAAAAAATAATTCGATAGAATTTCCTTGGGTAATATTGAATTTTTAATAAATATTACGTAAATTTGAAAAATCACAATAATAATAACAATAATAATTTGTTATTACCGAAGCTTTGATATCTTTACCAGATTGTATAAATTTAAAAAAGTTAATATTTTTTCTTTTATTTGTATTATGGTAATTCATTTCAAATTAAATAACGAAGTTCTTTCGAGTAAGCACAGAAAAGAAGGGAACCTTGTACACGAACCGCCGTTACAATCTACCCCGAGATAAGGCCGCATCCTTTGATATCGATGCTGAAACGGAGACTTCCGTGGTTCGCGGCAAGATACTTCTGACGCTTATTGCGTGTTATGCTCTCCCTGTGCACGTTTGTTTTGCGCTTCTGACAGTTTGAGCGAGATAAAGTCGGGAACCGGCAAGAATTTAAATAGGCGATAACCTTGCTGTGGAATTTCGGACGCCTATTTAAACCCGAGACACCGGATTGCCAAAGAATCTGCCATTTAAGTGATCGTAATATCACTAACATTATTGCATTTTCTTTTCATTTAATTATACAAAATGAAACATGATTACCGATAAACATTTAACGATAGGGATTGAACAAAACGTTAAATTACACGTTACAAAGCTACACCAGGAAACATCAGATTAACAGACAAGTATAAACGAACACGTGATCAAGATAAACGTCAGTGTTCATGTAAATCACTGAAGGGAGACTGATATGCGCATGTGTTACTTACGCCTCGGTGGGTGGCGGTGAATAAAAAGACGAGTGATAGGTAGTAATATCCACGACCTTCGCTGGTACGAGTAGTCCACTCGACACTACATCCATTCTCACGGCTAGTCTTCCAAGAAAACTCGCGGTCGGGGGGTCCTGAATGGTTTTCGACGGATCCGGTCCCGAAAACTCGAACTCCACAGCCTCTATCCTTCTATCTATCTATCTATTTTTCTATCTATTTTCTCCCTCTCTCTCTCTCTCTCTCTCTCCCTTTCTCTGTCTCTCTTGCTCCTTCAGTACTTTAAGTACTTCACGTTGTGCCCATACCGCGAATCATCGTTGAAACACTCCGCCGGTAATACCGTTAACACTTTTCGTTGGAGATTTGATAAATATTCAGCCTCTGGAGACCGTTAGGCAACTGGTACAATTCTTAACACGAAACGCATGATCGTTGCCGATAGAACAACGTTCTAAGGTCCTTTCTCGACGAGCCACTGTTTACAATGTATAAAGCTCGTCTACGATTCTCACGAGGCAGGCAAAAACATAAGAACTTCGTATCCCTCTTTGTGTTTTTCTTCCTTTGTCCGCGTCTGGTAACAGTGTACCTCCTCTTCAGTGATAGTTTTGCCCCACTGTTGTTGCGTATATCCGCCGCCGCGTGATAAGTCAACCGTGGTACAGCCGTACTTATCGACATGCGAAAAAATCCAAAGGAACGATCGGTGGTGGTTTATCCGTCGATTCGTAGAGACTAGTCCGTTGGTGAGAGTGGTGTTTGGGCGCACGCGTCGCGACAACGGTGCAATGAGCGTTCACACGAACGTAGCGAGGGAAAAAGCGTTGTCGCCAAGGCAGCGAAGGTCCACAGTAGAGGGAGAGAGGAAAAAGCACACGAGGGCACACACAGAGGACGGAAACGATCGCGGATCACGTTTTCGTTCCTTGTCACTCGAACGTCGTAAGTCTGTCTCGTCTCGAGTAACCTCCAGCGTGGTTGTCCATAACGCGACAGAGAGAACGTTAATTGGTTGCCGGCTGGTTTGTCGCGACGCGCGCCCAAAATCGAGCAAAGTCGCGCGGACGTCTCGACCGGTCGCCGTTTCGATTTGAACTGAGGGGTACCGGCTAGATTTGCCGGCAGCCTGCGCGCTCCGACGGTCCCTAACGTGCTCTCGTGCTGGGCTGTTGGCAACGTGGAGGGGAAAGGTACGGCCGCGGCTGCTCGACTCGAGGGTAGGGAAGGACAGGAGAGCCACGGGACGAGTGGTGACTACATGCGCCCTCGACCGCCCGTATTCATTCAGGCCCTGTCGGAAAAAAACAGTCGGACGAAAAGTGATGCTGTGTCGAAAGCTCTTTCGTTAACCCTTCCTCGTTTCAGGATTAATGTAGTCCAAACGGAGATTGGACATACCTTGGAGAGGGGTTTCGATGAAGAAATGTGTGGTATTGCAAGGTGGATAAAGTAGATAACACTTTTTAAAGAAACGTTAGAGGCGTGCTTAGGAGTTCTGTTGTTCTGTGGGTAATCAGCTTCGAGCTTGGCGCCATGGTTGCTGAGGACAGATGGGACTTGACGTATCGCGTGTGCTGCGTCATACGCGTATGAATGGTGCTTAACAAACAATGCTTTCTGTAGGTAGATATTTTTATGTGTGCACGATAGGAAAGAAATTATTCAAAATTCTTCTCAGAAAAATTTCAACATATCTCTAATGCAAATTTCGTGTGTTATATAAAAAAAGAAATAAATGAAATTTCAGTGCATTGGATGCATTCTGAGGCTACCGTTTCCACGAAGGGAAAACTTCCTGTTTATGTAACAGCAGCTGTAACGCAAAATGAAGAGAAGTACATACTAAGAAAAGTACATATACAGCATCGCTTCGAAGGAATCTTGAGGTCACGTCCGGACGAAACAGACATGCCTTTATTTTGCTTCAACTCTGATCATTTTCAAGAGCCCAACAGAATTATAAGACTGCCGGTCTAGACCTGCTTACTTATGTAACCGATTTACGGAAGAACATCCCTCATCTGGATCTACTTAAAAAAGCACCTGCGTCACTATTTACAGACATTTACGTTCCATCTTTTCCAAATATCGAATTTCAATACGTTTAATTAATCGAGCGGCCAAGTTTTTTCGAGTAGTCTTCGTGAAAACACACAGCTAACATTACAATGCACGATACCACGTACAAACAGTGTTTAGATTTGTCAGTGCATAGGTTAATTTATGCAAAGGCGCGTTCTCGCGTGTGTACAAACTAAACACGATCACACTCGCGAACAATGGTGACCGGAACACAGGAAAGTCAATTGGAAGCTTTCTATTGCTCCTCACACTACCCAGCCCACCATTACAGTACAAATACAGGTGTTACCCGCAAGAAACAGCCCATGTATCTTTTAATACTCATAAAACTGCGTCTGCCATTGTGACTCGGAGGAAGTGGTCAAACATAAAGAGCACTGTTGAACAGTCGAACACCGCGTGTAACGCCATACCGTGAATAACAGACACAATACGAGACTATGAAAACGACCAGTCCAAGATTTTCGAGAAAAAATTCAAAATTGCCTGACAGTTTAAAGTTAGTTTCTGAGAAAAGATTTCTTTTTTCCTATGGAAAATTGCGACGACCTTGAAGCGCGTATCGCTCGCTGAACGTCATATGGTAGTTTTTTTTATTTCACCATAGGGTAGAAGTGCAGGCGAATGTTTTGAAAACAAAAGAGAGACGCGTTGCCTGTGAGAACGTACTTTAATCCTGGTGAATACCTCTCGCTCGGTGCACGCCTCAGGGTGCGTCTGCATCGTTGTTCGCGAATACTTTCCCACCGTGGGAGTCTGTAGCTGGAGCAAACTCTGGCAAATACGTACATACATTGTACGTATATTCGTAAACATACTCGCGGTACTCTACGGTAGAGGTTATGTTCGTGACCCACAGTATGCTTCGAAATATGTACATACATATGTAATTTTGCTTGTAACATTTTTCATTAATAAAAAATTGATCCCTAGAGAAATTACAATATTCACTTGTTTTATATAAAATAAATTACCTTAATGACGCTTGTCAGATGTTGTGTACAAAAGTGAAGGTTAACAGTTGAAAGGGTAACCTCAATTGAATTATGTAAAAGGTGTAATAGAATTTCGTATTAATCACAGGATCTTGTAGGTAATCGCATCCATCGACGCCGAACGCCATAAACACGTAACAACACGGTATCAACGTCATGGGTGTCCCGCGTATTATGCAAGAGAAGGGTGCATGTTCCGGCAGAAAATTTTTCAGGCTGTTGAACAGGGAGTATAGTTCACCGTAGCATACCTTCGCCCACGATCGGATTCGAGATTGTCACGATTTCTTTTTCGGGTCAAGGTAGATAGTGTGTCAGGCTCAAAATGAAAATACAAAGTGATAACGTCAACGTCACTTTGATTAAAGTGTTTCTAAGTAGCTTAAAAAAAAAGATAAAAAAACGTGAATATCATTCGTAAATATCGAGATGCAGTTACATACGCATGTCAGTTTGGCCACCCTTAAAGTCCTTGAGACGCTAAAACACGCAACGGTTACTTGGCTCGAGCAAAAATATTTAAAAATTGTTCCACCTTTTCTCAAAGAATATGTCAGACCAGGATTGATAGGCGGCTGCCAACAGCTTAATACAACTCTTGCTTAGGGCTAATACACAGCATTATGTCAGTCCTGATTGAAGTTAGCACACCGGTAATTCTAGACAACTTCAGAGGCAAAAATGAACGACTAACCTTTAATCATGGCTCTACGCTGACAAGCTAACCGTTGAAATAAGTGAACTTTATTACTGCTTTCAAAGTTACCTCTGTACACCGACAAGAAAAACATCGCTGGCATTTTCCGTCGTCTTGCGACGACGGGGAACGTCATTCTCGAGAAGCATTTACCGCAAATTGGCGATAATGAGCGTAGAAGCATTTATAGACTTCGCTACAAGGGGACATTTCATACCAAAGTAAGCACTGAAGGCAGAATCCATAACAATTATACGAATTCCTCAAATTGTTCCATGAACGCCGTTAATCCAGTGTGAATTGTCCTTAACATGTGCTTGTTGCGTCCGAATAGAACGAGGCAGAGAGAGAGAGAGAGAGAGATGGTGCAGCAAGAAAAACAAATGAACAAGAGGAGAAAGATGAGGAGAAGCACGAAGGAATCGAGGAGGTGGCCGGGGACACGGAAGAGAAGAGAAGATGTGAGAAAGACGAAGAAACGAGAGGAAGGGATCCGGAATATAAGTCTGTGCAAAGCCTCGCGGTTTCGCCGCTGCGTTCTGGGAACCGATCGACTCTCGAAACACGAACGAACAACAAAAAACCACGTGAACTCGATACCGATCCATCTGCACTCTGGATTTAAATGCAGCAAAGTCGACCGAGACTGTTCCCTTCCACGCTATTTGATAAATAACACTCGTTCGTTAGGTAATCGATATTACCCCCCGTTAATTGATCGATACCCGATGATTGCAGGTTAGCAGAGGGCGTTACTGAACTGTTACCGAAGCAATTATCGAGGTTAACGTTGTGTTTGAATTCCTACCTTTTTTATGTCACACCTGATGGTATGCGAAGAGTAACGTGTTTGGAGGTTAAGTGTCAGATTTGCTGCAGGCGGTGAGGTTAAATCGATTCTACGAGTGATTGTTTGGTTAGCCGTATAGAAACGAGGCTCGATGGTTTATTTCGTGTTCATCTTCATGCATGTTTTAACGGAGCTCGATGTGCCACCCTTTAACCACGTCGGTAACTTCAACGAGATATCAGTTTTTTTTCCCTCTTTGTTCAATTATTCGCTCTCGTAACGGTGTATTGTGCGGCACATAAATGAAAAAGAGTTAACGGCGAGTTCAATATCAAACGTCTAGTTCATTTACCAGTTTGCCAGGCTTTGTCAGCCATTCAAAACGACCGGATACGAAGTAGACGTAAACACTAAATACATAGAATATGGAAATGAATGCAATGCTCGTGGAACAGGTCACGAAATTCTTTTGGGCCGGTCCTGAGACCCAGCAGACGCAGAATAAAGATTTGCCCCCGAATGAAA